CAAAAAACAGAACAATTTAATTAATTAATTAAAGGGTTGCAAGGAAATCAGTGAAAAGGGCCAAAAAACTAAACTAACTAGCAAACAAACACCATATATTCTTCATATGAAGATGTTAACAGGAAATAAAGTTCCATTCTTTTTTGCTTTCAAGAACCCAAATATTTCTCAATTTTACAATAATTTTTCTTACTCTTATGTTAAATTTTTACACACACAGATATAACTCAAACTCACACACACACACACACCAATTAGATTTAAAACGATATAAAAATAGATGCACAGAATTCTACCCAGAAAAAATCACAAAATAAAATAAAATAAAATAAAATAAAAATTCTGAAACAGAGATATTTACAAAATTAAACACACACTGATATATGAGAGAATCACACACACACACACACACATAGAGAGAGAGAGAGAGAGAGAGAGATGAAAAGGCTGAGTTGTTCCTCTGCAAATGAAGACCCTAATTGAGGTTTCAAGATTTCATGAAGGAGAACCTGAAAGAGATGGGCTCTCTCAGCAAAGGGATTTTGAGTACTTCACAGAGATTTGTTTTTCCTAGAAAATTTATTGATTTATATGTGCAGCTACCACTACCAGCCTGTGTAGTTATTAAACCCCTCAAAAGAGGAAATAAGTGTGAAAAAATTATTCCAAAATCTTCACTACATAAAGGCGATGTGCTACCGGCAAAAAACAGCAATTTGAATGGAGGTTGGTGCCATGAATGGCTCACAATTTTTTATTTTTTATTTTTTTTGGTAGTCAGTCAGGTATCCGGAGTTATGCTCCTACTAATTCGTTGGTCGACCGATGTCGCACACCTGATAGTGGTGGTGAGTCTCCCAACAAGAATTTTCTGCATCCACAAGAAATCGAACCCAAGACCTTACTTAAGTGGCATCAAACTGCTTACCACTTGAGCCAACCTGTTGGCGAATGTCTCACAATTTAACATGTAATTTTCTCAGGAATATATTGCAAAAGCCATATAACACAAAGAATGAACCGCCACGTAGCCTGATCCCACACCACACACATGCAATAAATATTTAAAATTATGATACAATTATAATTTGAAAATATTTGAAAATGCAAAATAACAAAATTAATTAATTAAGACCTAAACCTACTGAACAAGTGGTTCATGTATTCGGCTCAACTCGTATGATAAATAAATCGACTTGTATGATAATAAATCGAGGTTGAGTTCCTTAGAACTTGTCAAATGAAATGAGTTGCTTGTGAACTTGATTTAACTTGGAGTTATTTAAAGCTTATTTAGATTTAATCAACAACTCTCAGCTTGTATATATAAATTTTTATGATTTTTTCTGATGAATTTATTGAAAAGTTATTTAGTTAATGACCATAAGGCCTGCAAATGTTTATGTTTATGTAATTTGAGCTCACTTATTTAACTAGCTCGGCTCGATAAAGATTCGCGCTCAAACTTGAATATGAAGTGGTCGAGTTTGGCTCGACTAGTTTAAGACCACTTAAAAATTGTCTATTCACGTAATTGAATTGTGTTTGCATGTAATAATATGCAGTTGATGTCGATTATATACTTCTAATTGTGTATTGTCTATTCACGTAATTGAATTGTGTTTGCATGTAATAATATGCAATATATTGATGTCGATTATATACTTTTAATTAATTGTGTAATTATATTTACATAATTTTAAGTTTTAAATTAGTATATTTTGAAAGATAATCTCACCTGATTTCGGGATTGTGTTTGAAATAATATAACGCGTAGCTCAGCTTTGATCAAGGCACGCGTGCCGCTTGGCCGTTACCAACCCGCGCGCG